AAGCAAGACTTCACATTATATAGCCATATATATATGTATATGACATATATATAATAACTATATAAGCTTTAACTATGAAGTCATAGTCAAGTATTTGCTTTATGTACAATAAGCAGTGAACAGTGAATTTCTATATTATTTTAATTTTCATGAACACTAAACGTTCTATTGTTAAGAATAAAAACAGTTGTCAGTTAAACTAAAAGTCTATTTTGTTCTAATGAAAAAGAAAATCACATTAAATTTGGTTGTTACAGCTGATTTTGCCTAAAAACCTGACATTTAAAAATCTATTCAGTTAAAGCTCGCGTAACTTTGAATGCGCTTAATTATACCCGAGTATTTGTGTACTTGGAGTGTTTACTGTTGTCAAGGTGCACACGCAAAAGGACAATGCCGTGAAGCAACACATTTTACTGTTCTTTCCACATAGCTGGTGTGGACACACGCAAATTAAGGTGTTTACTTATGATTTGTGAATGACAGGGAGACAGGCGAACAATGATGTGTGTGGGTGTGCGACAGTGTGTGCTGTGTGTGTTTGCTTGTTATTTCCTTGTAATATTTAATGGAAGGTCGTTGACATGGTTAGGCGTTGCCTACCTGGCTTTTTTTCTCCTTATCTTGTCTAATGAGTTTCCATTCATAAAATCAATATTCGATGTGTGAATAATTAGTTGGGAACGTGAATAAAACGAATTAATTGAAGGCAGCTCCGAGAGGCAACTCAAAATGTCGAATCGAATTGAAGCGTAAATCAATAGTATAATCCAAATTGGTTTCAACACACAAAGAACTATACAGTGATATATAATTGAAGAATCATGTCAACATGACAGATCCCAATAGGAATAATAGTCCAAACTCAAACCCAAATCCGAATCCAAATCCAAATCCAACTAATACCAATGGCAATCACAAGTCAACAAATGGTTCATCACAAACGGAGCCAGCTAGCTGCTCTACGAGAGTCAATCCCGCCCACAATTCCGGTGCCGGTTCCGGCTCCGGTTCCAACAGATTTCAGCTGCCTCCGGCCTGGGCAACGGTGCCGGAGAAATTCCAATCGTGGTGCCAGAGACGACTGCGCCGGCTGAGAGGCGAAGCCTTGAGGCATACGGCTACAACAGGACCCACAAGCTTTGCACCGGATGCCGGCACGAGTACGGGCGGGGCCGACTCCTACGCGGTCAACTATGTGGACAGCAGCGGCGACAGTGTCACCGACGTGGACGGCCGCATTGCTCCACGGCAACTGCCGAAGAATCCGCAAAAATGCAAAGTTTGCTTGGAGAAAACCAAGCGGTTAATCTTGGAGAAAGTATGCCGGAGGAAGCCCAAGTGCAAAGGTGTTTATTTCTTTAACTATTGCTGTTATCGTATACCCGAATCTCATCTATCTTATCTAATATCTTACATATCTTCTAGCACATATCATTTATCAAATTTCACAAATCACTTATATATCTAAGATTTCAATCGAACCTTCAGTTAGATATTTGAATTTATTAAGTCAGCATATCATGGAGATCTCTGATCTATGAAAAAGACAACCGAGAAGCTATTTAATCTTTAGCATTTACTGCATCACTGTAATTATATATCATGCTATATTTATTCTAGCTTATCTTAGAGAGAGAGACAGAGATAGAGAGGAGAACAATCTGTTTATCTTACAGGTAACTGACATTTGAAGCATATTGTATCTTGCCTGAATATGTAGCAAATTTATATGATATGTGGGGGTAGTCTGAAAAGTTTATAGTTTTTATCATCAAGATAACTAAGAGGCAGAGCATTCTAGCTGATCATGCTGATCAGGAGTATGTATGCTTGTCTAGCTGTCCATATAACTGTACTGTTTACAAGCCAATTTGCGCTTTTCGCAATCTTATCTTTAAGCTCAAGGAACATTTTAACTAATTTCAGTCAATCTATAAACCGTTCTATAATGGTACATCTACATGAGTACATATCATTATTTAGCTAATATGTGTTATATGACCACTGCAATTCGAGTACTCACATTTATGGGCCCGGCCCATTTAGCGGTAAATCGTTATTGTTCCCTTGCGGTTGTGAAATGCACTCAAGGGAAGTTACTTTAGTCAGATATCCAAATATAAAATGAATTTCAAGTTAAAGTGCTCAACTAGCGAGATATCCTGTAAAAACTGCGGTTTGTTGATAAGTTGTTCAAACCGCAAATAAGTATGAATATGAATTAGATATAGTATCTACTAGAATATATACTAAGTATAGTTTAGTTTATATATATATACGATAAATATTCTCTATATGGTATTAAAAAAGAGTATATTATATAATTATAATATAAAATTAGTTCTAAGATTTCAGACTTGCATAGCTCTGGAATTAATCATTTAATTCTCTTTTATATTCACCTCAGGGTAATAAATCTTTAAAAATTGTGAAATCTCTAATAATAATCTAATATATAATTGATTCCTAAACTTAGAAGTTGTTCATGWAAGACGTCTGTATTTTAATATATTGTTATATAGTATTATATTTTATATATATTATAAATGAAATTGGTTTATTTTAAAACATTAGTTGCTTAGATATAAAAGGTAGCTGCCTATCCTGATATACCCCATGTATACATCATATATGGCCTTTTTCTATTGATGTTAGCGCTTAGCGTAAGCCATATTTCAATGGGTCTGCGACACACTGCCCAAAGGACACAAATCAGAGCGTTGAAATCGCCATTACGGCTCTGCCGATGCCTCCGTCCTCGTCTCCGTCTCTGCCTCTACCTCTGCCACCGCCACTTCTCCAACCCTCACCACCTTCTCTGCATTTGCGACTCGCTCTGCATTAGGTTTGGCTGTGCGTTATGCTTCGACCCTGAGTGCCTGGCAAAATTTGCTCATTATGGCCCACCTGGGCCAATTCGAGCGGCAGAGCAGCTGAAGTTTGGGGACGCCACCCAGTGGCAGCAGCAACGAGGCTCTCTCTCGCCTTGTATTCAGTCGGACAGTCAAGCTGCCAGAGCGAACAACACGCAGCACGCAACAAACAAAAAAATAGACGCAAAAGACGGCAGACAAGAAAAAACTGGGCCAACAATTTGTTGTAAATATTCGAAATGTGTTAAAAAGTTTGTTTTTTTGGACAAAAGTTTTAGCTGTGTTTTTTGCTGTCGGCAAGTGTTAAGCTGTGAAGCGGTATTTAAGTGCAACAAATTGTGGCACAGCCGTAGTTTACTATCGTGTGCATCACGTGGCATTCAGCTGCGTTCAATGTGTGACAAATCGATAATGCGCACTTTTTGACGCACTTTGATAAAAGTGTTTCTAGATATTGCTCAACAATTACTTCAGACTTGAAGCTACTTGCTGATTAGTGCCACATTAAAGATATATGCTTATTTATGGTATATAGCGTATCGTATCTATATCGGTATAAATTATTCATGTCGTTGGCAAAATGTCAAAGTTGAAACGAGTTGTACGAAATGTGGCCGAAATTGAGAGCGCAAGCGCTGGCTCCGGCTTCGTGAAGCTCTTGCAACGCCCACTGGCCACGCCCACTTGTGGCTTATCAACAGCAGTAGGAGCCGAGTAGAGCCTGCAAAACATACAACCTGGAGAGCATACTGAGAGGAAAGTCAATCAACAGCAGGGAGAGCATCGCCTTTCAGGCGGTCGGCTCGGGCATCGAGGAGCGCTACGTGGCAGATGGAACGGATCAGGAGTCAATAGAGACGGCCGCAACCGAATTGATTGGCGACCTCAACGACGATTCGAATCGCATTCTAAAGTTGACAAAACGTCCAATTCGACGACGCAGGCTATCGGTCAGGCCGTGCAGCAGACGCTGGGGCAGAATGAACTTTCGCAATGTCTATAGGGCGTTGCGTATACGTTGGAGTCGTAAGTTGAGCACGAGATCTATTTTAAATCAGAGGGTGGAAAAACGAAGAGAAGGGATTCCAAATTAAAATAAAGTATTGAGGTTGGGTATCACAAATAGAAGTTATATATTGTATATAAAATGCCTAATTAAGGACTAGTAACCTTATGGAGCTAGTTCAATGTAGCTTCACAATCCGGTAACAAAATTCCAAATTCAGAATGTACGTCACCTGCCCGAAAGTTCCTCCGATCATTGAGCTGGGCATGCTGATGAAGCAGCATAGGATCATACCAGACGTCGTCACCTGCAGGCCCGAGTATGTCATCAATGTTGCGTATCATTGCGGTATCTCAGTCTCGCCTGGCTGCCATCTGAAGCCGTTTGATGTGCGATTCGAGCCCATCATACGCTGGATGTCCGATCCACGCAAGTTCTACACGCTGGCCATGGTCGATCCGGATGCACCGAGCCGTGCCAAGCCCATCTATCGCGAATGGCTCCATTGGCTCGTGGGCAATATACCCGGTTGCAATGTGGCCATTGGCCAGAAGCTGGTAGACTATATTGGCAGTCGTCCGCCCCCAGAGACGGGCCAACATCGTTACGTATTCGTGGCCTTCAAGCAGTTCTGCGAACTGGACTTTGACGAAACGTGCATATCGCAGGATACCTACGAGGGCAGGCCGTGCTTCAGCCTACGGCGATTTGCCAAAAAATATGCCCTGGGCAATCCCATAGCACTCAATTTTTTCCTTGCCAATTTTGAAAATGATTTGAATTGAGTTCGTTTATTATTCTGTGTTTGCGAAGGTGACAATAAAAATCGGATAGGAAACATTGACCTAGAAACTGTTGTAGTTAAGGGATTGGTAGAGTGATTGATTGAATGATGGAGCGAAAAGGCTACTTCTGTTACAGTGAACATTGATGGTTGATGAATTCAATGAATATGTTTGATTGAACGATAAACTGTGTTAATATCATAGACTAATAAAAAAATAAAATAAAAATAATCAATATCATAGACTAAGCAAGTAATATTTATATACGATTTTCAGTATTTTGTGTGTCTGAAAATGAATTTTCGATTAAATTTCTTTTCTTTTTTCTTAAAGATGATGATGAAGAGCCACCAAACTTTGGCAGTTATGACTCGACTGACGACGATAAGCGCATCATAACGCTGAATGGGCCGCAGCCAACAAAATATTGCAATAACCGAATATCAACGGCTAAATATAAGTGAGTAATTATAATGGGCATCGATTATCAGAAGTAATGCCCGTGCGCATGCATTTGCCCATGGGCTATTTAAATGTCATGGCTTACTCTGATAAGATATGATCTAAATAGTGTATGTATGTGTATTTGGTAGAGTAATTGATTAATAAATGCTTCCGTTTCTATTTGCACAGTGTCCTCACCTTTATACCGTCGTTTCTCTTTGAGCAATTTCGACGATATTCCAATATATTTTTCTTACTAATTGCATTATTACAACAAATTCCGGATGTATCGCCAACGGGTCGCTACACCACACTGGTGCCACTCGTATTTATACTGTCAGTAAGCGCCATTAAGGAAATTATTGAGGATGTGGTAAGTAATTAAATATGATAATCGATTATATATGATATACAGGAATAAATATTTAATATCATTACAGAAACGACATCGCGCTGATAACGAAATCAATCATCGTTTGATTGAACGGCTAGAAAATGGCACTTGGACCACTGTGCGCTGGTCCGAGCTGACAGTTGGTGATATTATAAAGGTGGTCATCGATACATTCTTTCCTGCCGACTTGATATTATTATCGTCTAGGTGAGTAGCCAGTTGAATAAAAGATAAAATGAACTTTTACTACACAATCTATCGATTTCTTTACAGTGAACCGCAGGCTATGTGTTTCATTGAAACTGCAAATCTGGATGGCGAGACAAACCTGAAGATTCGTCAAGGCATGCCGTCGACGGCCAAGTTATTGGACACAAAGGACTTGACGCAATTACAGGGTAGAATCGAATGTGAGCTGCCAAATCGCCTGCTATACGAGTTCAATGGCGTCCTCAAGGAGTTTGGCAGACCGTAAGTAATTCAATAACTTGAACTTACTAAATTGAATTGAATTTTTATTTTAATATTGAAATCGTTTTACAGCCCCGTTCCATTGGGCAACGATCAGGTGCTGCAGCGCGGCGCTATGCTCAGGAATACGGCTTGGATATTTGGCGTAGTCATCTACTCTGGACATGAAACGAAGCTGATGAAGAACTCAACGTCGGCGCCGCTGAAACGTTCGACTGTTGATAAACTGACCAATACACAGATCTTGATGCTGTTCATGATATTGATCTCACTCTGCATAACGAGTGGGCTGTGCAACTTGTTTTGGACGCAAAAACATTCCCCAACTGATTGGTATCTGGGCATCGGAGACTTCAAGAGCTTGAGCCTCGGCTACAATCTGCTGACCTTCTTTATTTTGTACAACAATTTGATACCCATTTCGTTGCAAGTGACGCTGGAGCTGGTGCGGTTCCTGCAGGCGATCTTCATTAACTATGACATCGAGATGTACCACGCGGAGTCAAATATGCCAGCCAGTGCGCGCACATCGAATCTTAACGAGGAACTGGGCCTGATCAAGTACATATTCTCGGATAAGACGGGCACATTAACCCGGAATGTCATGGAGTTCAAGAAATGCTCCATAGCCAAGCGCATTTACCAAACGGAACGCACGCCCGAGGAATCGGAGCTGGTGCAGAATATATTGCGTAGGCACGAATCCTCCAGGGATATTGAGGAGTTTCTAGTCTTGTTGTCTGTGTGCCATACAGTTATACCAGAGAAGAAGGAGGATGGCACCATTATCTATCATGCCGCAAGTCCGGACGAACGAGCTTTGGTCGATGGAGCTCGCAGGTTTGGCTACATTTTTGATACACGCACTCCCGAATATGTGGAGATAAATGCATTGGGCAAGCGCATGCGTTTCGAAGTGCTGAATGTACTTGAATTTACGTCGCAAAGGAAACGTATGTCGGTCATTGTACGCACGCCCGAGGGAAAAATTAAGCTCTTTACCAAGGGTGCCGATTCGGTCATATACGAGCGTCTCTCTCCCCGGGATCAGGCGTATCGTGAGGCCACGTTGCAGCATTTAGAGGAGTTTGCCTCAGAAGGTTTGCGTACACTCTGTCTGGCCGTGGCGGATATCGATCCCGAAGTCTACGAGGAATGGACTCATACACATCACAAGGCATCGATCGCCCTGCAGTATAGGGAGAGCAAGCTGGAGGACTCGTCTAATCTGATTGAGACCAATTTACGTCTGCTGGGTGCAACGGCTATTGAGGATAAGCTACAGGATGGCGTGCCAGAAACAATTGATGCTCTGCTCCAGGCTGGAATATACATTTGGGTGCTGACGGGCGATAAGCAGGAGACGGCCATTAACATTGGCTACTCCTGCAAGCTAATCTCAAACACGATGGACATCCTCATACTTAATGAGGGCAGCTTGGATGTAAGTTAGAGATCTGATTAGCTTTTATTGCTTATTGCGAAAATATTGACTCCCCTTCTTTATTTCTACTGTATTTGTTATTAATCTCAACTTTCTGTTGCAGGCCACACGTGATGCTGTGCTGCGGCATGTGGGCGAGTTCAAGAGCTCCTCGACCAAGGATGCCAATGTGGCGCTCGTCATCGACGGGAAATCTTTGAAGTATGCCCTGACCTGCGATCTGCGTGGCGATTTCCAGGAGCTTTGCCTCATGTGTCGCGTCGTCATCTGTTGCCGCGTTTCACCCATCCAAAAGGCCGAGGTCGTTGATATGGTGACACAGAGTACCAAGGCCGTGACCTTGGCTATTGGCGATGGAGCCAACGATGTGGCTATGATTCAGAAGGCAAGCGTGGGCATTGGCATATCGGGCGTTGAGGGTTTGCAAGCGGCCTGCGCCTCTGACTATTCAATTGCCCAGTTCCGTTTTTTGCGTCGCCTCATACTCGTACACGGTGCCTGGAATTATGCGCGCATCAGCAAGCTGATCCTCTACAGTTTCTATAAAAATGTTTGCTTATATGTGATTGAGCTCTGGTTCGCCCTCTACTCGGGCTGGTCAGGTCAAATTCTGTTCGAACGCTGGACCATTGGCCTCTACAACGTTGTCTTCACGGCCATGCCCCCATTCGCAATTGGACTGTTTGAGAAGTTCTGCACGGCAGACACAATGCTTAGGTACCCGCTGCTCTATAAGCCCTCACAGAATGCCAAACTCTTCAATGTGCGCGTCTTTTGGATATGGATCTTCAATGCGTTGCTGCACTCGGTGTTTCTCTTCTGGCTGCCACTGTTCGCCTTCGAGTCGGAATCCATTTGGTCTGACGGCAAGACGAGCGACTATCTGCTGCTCGGCAATATGGTTTATACGGTGAGTTGCATCGGAATAACAGGAGAGTGTATATGTGAGAGAAGAGAGTAGAGTGTGTATTATATGAAATATAAGAACAAAGTATAATAAGTCGAGTCTATCTGTCTCATTCACACTCGCTCAGAGCAAGACACTTCGGCTCTATTCGTTTTTGTCTGCTGTTGACCTTGAGTTGAACTATTCGTGTGACTCTCTTTTGACGAACATCAATTCACGAACACAATTGATCGCATGCATACTAATACATACGTCAAAGATCTTAACTCAATTGGTCGGAGAGAAACCAAAGCGGAGCTCTTTGAGGAATCGACGGAATCGGTTGCTCTCTTATTTTATTATTATTTGTAGACATTGAGAAACGATTAACAACGAACTATACAGTATAATGAGCTAGGGCACTACGTTTATATATATATACATATATACACATATTAATTCAACATGCATTATAATTTTAATATATTTTCTGCTTTTTCTTTTTCAGTATGTAATTGTGACAGTCTGCTTGAAAGCCGGCCTTATTACCAGCTCATGGACCTGGCTAACGCATGCCGCCATTTGGGGATCGATTCTGCTCTGGTTTTTGTTTGTGCTGATCTATAGTCATATCTGGCCATCGCTGAGCTTTGCGAGTAATTTCGCCGGAATGGACAGTCAGCTGCTGTCGACGCCGGTCTTTTGGTTCGCTTTGATTCTGGTGCCCATTGCCAGTCTGCTGATCGATGTCATCTGCAAGCTGTACGTATGAATATATAACGAATAGACTATATGTTTTAATGTATATACATTTGGTTACAGTATACATAATACCGTTTTCAAAACCCTGACGGATGCTGTACGAGAGCAGGAGATACAGCGTAATGATCCCTCGCAGGTGATGGAAGAGTCGCGCTCCTCGTAAGTATTCCGTTAAAAGACAGAGCGAGCCTAACTCCTCTGTATATATACATATATATTTCTACACTACGTATTTTGCATTATTTCTGGGTTTATTTTCCTATACAATTGGTTAAACTATCTATCTGGCAAAAAGACTAAAAAAAAAAAAACGAAAAACCCAAAAAAAAAAGCTACTATATTTTCAATTTGAATTGTTGCGCATCTTAAGTAGAGTTAGTTACGTTTTTTATTTTTGTTTTCCTATTAAGCAGGGATCGTCTATATAGTTGCCTATATAATTTGCAATTCGTTGCGATCCGTGCTTGATATTTGCATTTTTTGTTTCGCATTTGTATTTGTATTTTGCACCACCTTGTGAGACGTCCTTTAATTAAGCAATTAGTTAAGTTTGCATTTAATTAGTTACACAATTTAATTAATATAGTAGTTATCTATCGTCTAACTGTTTATCTCCTAGTTTAAACGAAACCCTAATTAACTCTTTAGCAAGTTTTATATTTGATTTACTTAACAAACTACACGAAAGTACTGAAAACTAGTTGGATCTAACTAAACTTATTTAATATATGTATATACATAACGGAAAAACAAACAGGTTTACATACAATATATAATCGGAAAAAAGTTTTTTTACTTTTCACAAAGTAAAAAGAAATTTATGTTGAACTTGAAGCAAGTATTTGTTCTAGTCAGAACACCTTTTGCACCCGTTTATAGGGTATACAGCAATCATATTTCTATGACTAAGTATTAGTTCTTATACACAAAGAAACAACACAGCACAGGGTATTCAATAGTCGACTAGATTACAAGTAGCTTCTTGTTAGCAACGAAGAAACACAAAACATATTTGCATATTTATTGTATTATTGGATAAACATATATATATTTATTTATATGTGTATATATTGTAGCAAAAATTGCTTGGAATTGAAATTACGTATTTATTTAGTCATGAATTCAAATTGTGTGTATTTTAATTTGGTAGCAAAATATGCATTAAATAAAAAAATAAAAAAAAAACAAAAGCAACTAAGAATATTATAGTCGGCTGCAATCGACTGCATAATACTCGTTCACGCTATGAATACTCTTAAATTTATTTATTTATTGTAATATGCACTACAATATATCGTATTTGATATAAAGACCTTCCCAAAGCTGACCTGATAAGTTTTGGGTTTCTTCCTTGACTTATCCATAAAAATAGGTGTACCTTTTCTCCGTTCTGCTGTGATATGCATAAATACCTCGGCGGACAAAAGCCAATAATCTCTTTTATCATTGCGTGAACTTGTATTTAAAATAAATCAAAACACTATTCAAGTTTATTAGCGGGCAAAATTGCAAATATTTATATAGATATCGAGTTAACTATTGTAATATTATTTACCTTATTAGCAACAATCAAATTTGAAATTAAAAAAAAAAAAAAAAAATAAAAAGAAAAGACAAGAAATGTAATTCTCTCTATCCTCTATCCTCTATTAACACACACAACATCCATACATACCCACACCCACACACATACATAATAAAACAATGTTCGATCTGTAACAAAATTGTCAATTTATCCATATTCATTGTTAACAAATCCCAAATTCCCTCATGCCAAATCCACAAAAATTGTGTTCGCCTACGATTAAAAAACAAAAAAGGGAAATTCGTTTTAAGCATGATTTGGACAAGAGATCGAGCGCCAAAAGGGAGAAGGCCCGAGTGCGAGATTACCATTCAGGACAGAGCATAGAGTTTTCCGGTCGTCGTCTGCGTGTCGAGCATTTGGATTTCGATGAAGATCTGGAAGCCATGAATCAGCAACGGGAATACCATAGACGTCGGCACCGCTGGCAGGGCAGCGAGATCCTGCACATGTAGCTAAAGCAAGCTGCGAAGAGAGCAAGTTCCTTTGTCTCTATATACCATATATGTATATAATATTTATGTTTTACATGTCGTCAATTGAAATAAATTATTTATATAAATGTTATACAGTAAGTGCTCATCAAATTGATAGATAGAAATCTATGTGTATATATGTATATGCTCAGGGCATGTCAAGCCATATCCATTATATATCAACCAGTCAGTCAATAATAATGAAAGCTGTAGTATTCATACCTATATACATTTACATATACATATATAGAGGATCATCTCTGTACAGATGCAAGTCTTTAAATTGATCCAACTGTGATACTGATTACTCTAGATAAATGAATGTTTTCAAAGAGTTGCAATTTAATTTCATATTACATGTTGTTCATATCTTAAGTCAATTGTACCACGCTTAAATTGAAAGTGAAATCAAAATAAGGAAAGAAGAAGACGAAAGCATTCCATAAACTAAAACGAAACCAACGTCTAAAAGAATGTACAAAAGAAGTAGAAAACTTGTGTGTAAACCAGTTAACAAGATATTTAATTTAAGCTCAATTCTATTCCAGTCTCAATTGTTGTTGTTAGGCCCTGAACCCTTAGATAATGAGTAGAGTGGGTATATTGTTTTGCTAAGCTATATGTAACAGATATGATTATCTGTATGAAGTATATATATATTTTTGACTAACACTAACTAACGAGCTAAGATAGAATTGTGCGTCTGTCTGTCTAAATATATAATTGTTGTAGTTTATTCTTTAATAATAATTGAAAGCAAAATTTAGCTTTATACACGGTAAAATTTATTATCTGATTATAAGCACAGATGTCATTATATATCATTATATTATATATAGTATCTATATGAATCTTTATATTAACGATAACTAGGATGTTTTGCGTTAGAAGCTCGTCAAATGGTTCAGGGTATTCACTAGTCGAACACTGCCGACTAGAGCAATCATATTTGTTTTTATATATTGTTTTTAAAATATACTATAGTATCTTAAGTAAATCTGTATGCCATCCTTTCTAACCTACCTATGCAATTGATAACTATTTAAAAACCCAAAGATATTCCAATCAGAAAATCTATTAAAAGTCGTATAGTCGAATAAAGCTAAAGTTAACAAAATGCAAAATTTCTAAATTGTCTTCAAGCCTGTGTCCGTATGTTAAATAGCAACTAAATAAAATATATATTTATTTATATATATGTGTGTATGTCAAATATATGTTTATGTAAACCAAAATAGAAGCTGATGTCTTAGTTTTTCATCAACTTGCATGCAATTTACTTATAATAAATACCCACTACAACGTTATTGGGTCCCACTAACAGAACAAAACAGTTTGGCACCAAATTTGATACCAACAAAAAATAACAAAAACAACAAGAAAACTGAAGAACAAAATGTTGGAAATATTTTGCACAATTCCCTATTTATTTTCTATATTTTTTACAAAAAGCAATTTATTTATTTTGCATTTTATAAAAAAAAAAAATCTATGCAGTCTATATGAATATGTATTTTAAACAAACTTTCATCAATATACTATATATATATATTTTCTTGTGTGTGTGTGCTTGTATGTGTATGTGCGCAGTACTATGTATGCCTTGGGATCTATAATTCGGTGTAAGTAATACATAAAACAAATGTAAATTTCAGACAAACAAAATATCAAATATATACACATATTGCGAGGGTAGTTCAAAAAGTTGCAGAACTTAATGGAAAATCGAAAGAAATTGGGAAACCCCTTATGAAGTTTCAAAGCTTTTTAAATCAAATTCAGTTTGCGAACTTGTCAGACTACCCTCGTATAAATATAAATTCATTAAAATCCAAACTCCTTAATCATTTATCATATACAGTCACAAAACATCCATTCATGTGAATAGGCCTCTAAAACAACTGTTGCAATTAGACTAGATAGTGTTAGGCAAATGGTAAAACAAAAAAAAAAACAAAAAAAAACAAAAAAAAAACAGCACAGACGTTTGTAAAATATACAAATAAATACCTAATATATACCTATCTTAAGGTTGCTTTCGCATTGCATGTTTCTGTTCTCAAACATATTTCTACTTTGGTTAACTAATATTGAAGAAACATAATTATTTTCTAAAAAATTTGCATGCTCCATAAAAAATTTGTCACCTTTGATTGTAGACTTTTTATTGCTCTCCAACAGCCGCTCACCTTTCTTTTTTTTTTAACGGTCTGTAGATGCTAACAATTCAAAATGAAAATAAATGTTGTACCTTAAAAAATGAAATAAATTGGTGAAAAGGCAGAAATTCAATAACTTGCTAAACAAAAAAATCCCAAAAATAATTCATAAACTTTTTATGTTTGGTTTCAATGAAAAAAAAAATTATTAAAAAGTAAAAGTGATATATTCCATTACAAAACCATCTAAAAAATCCAATTCCCCCGAAAAAAAAAAAAAAAAAAAAAACAATTAATTCTACAGATTTACTGAAACGGCGAGATTGCTACGAAATGTTTTCACCCGTCGTGCCAACACAAGAGTCGAAACGGAACTAGAATTATCGCGTGAGTACAAACCATATACCGAATCAGATCCAACGAATGTCCCCGATGTGCTATTAGTGCAGGACAAACAGGGTTTGGGCAGYACTTCATTTTTAAATGGGCTAGTTAACATATACATATACAGACAGTTAGTATATAGCATTATATACCTGTGTATATAGCCATGGTTATCAGCTGTAGTGAATCGCTCAATAAAGAAAAATGATATTTGAGTTTATTTGTGCACTTCATCCACACGTTCATTAAAAACAAAATACCCTTTCCCCATCCCATACACGAATGACATATAATTACCGTGTCTGATATATCTATATAATCTGTTGGTACATTTCTTTTCCAACCAGATGGCTATGCATTTTCGCAAGAGGAGGGTGGTGCTGTACCGCAATCTATTGTTATACGGGCATATGACACGAATTTGCCCAAGCCAGAGGGCAATTGAAAAGCGGAAAAGGAAGATCGGGATATATATGTATGCATATATACATATATGCGGCAGCTATTGTATTTATGGCTATGAAACACGTTGAGTTTGCAACAGCTGATGTGTGTTAAAAAAACCAAAGAATAAAAACATTAGAATAATTAATAAAAAATAAAAAGAAAATTAAGAACTAAAAAAGATAATGAAATAAAATTTTAAAGGAAATACTTTTGTGAAACACACATATACACACATTTTTCTGGTATTAATTCAACAAAGATATTCTAAATGTGTCTTACATTACTAATATTTTTATTTATATATGTGCTGCATATGGTAATTTCATTGTGTATTTGTATCCTAACTGTTAATTATTTTATAAGCCACTTAAATAAAGCCGTTAGAAGCATTTTGATTCTTTGTACATATGAAAAATACTTGTTTGAATATATTTTGTGTGGGTTTAAAAAATTGTTAATCGGATTAATTTAAAATGTTTTCGATTACATATTGGTAAATAGAGCTATCGTTCCAACGATATGCGAGTGCATTGATAGCATGAGTATGAAAAACTAACGAGCGATGAAGTGAATGCAAGCAATAGAAGATTCCACTAGCTAGCCGATATATATTTCAGAAGTTTAAAATAGTTGGCAGAGAAAATTTGTCTTTTTAATTTGTGGAAATGCCAGATATAGAGATTTGCCACTGACCAGAGAACACATAGACTAGACATGTAGAACAAACTTTTTCAACACCGRAAAAATGMGCTGAASRGAYCGGACAACTTCGTATTTGGTCGGCTCGGTCTTCTGAGGCTCAAGCAGTAAAAATAAGGCAAGACAAAATCAGTGTGCTGCGACTGCTGCCACGAAATGCACGCATTACTAAATGAAGCANTGCTTCATTTAGTAATGCGTGCATTTCGTGGCAGCAGTCGCAGCACACTGATTTTGTCTTGCCTTATTTTBACTGCTTGAGCCTCAGAAGACCGAGCCGACCAAATACGAAGTTGTCCGRTCYSTTCAGCKCATTTTTTCGGTGTTGAAAAAGTTTGTTCTACATGTCTAGTCTATGTGTTCTCTGGTCAGTGGATTTGCTTAATTACAGCTGTTAACAGCCGAAATTGCTTTCTTTACCACTAACGATGATTACATCGATATATGCACGACCAAATGAACCAGTCCTGAACTAGTAGATATTCATTGGTACTCGCGAATAGTGTTTACTGCAACCCTGAAGAGCGACGCGGCTTTCCATTTGCGCTCGCATATTTCTGTTGCATTTTCACCAGTTTCTGCATTAGTATAACAAAGAAAAATAAATAAAAGCATCGCCATGGATGATATATTAAGTCCAGGATTTTCAATTCCCAGCATTGGGCATGCACCGACGCCGCTGCATCACAGTCTGGATGCCGATCAACAAATCGAAGCATTACCACATCAAGTTTATCATCCACCCGCACCAGAGCCAACAACAACGGCGGCCACAGCGCAGCAGCAGCAGCAACAACAACAGACAGACAATGGAACGGGCGTGCCCGATGGCAGCAGTGGCAGTGGATTATTTGGGCACGAGCCGTCCATACCTCTTGCTCACAAACAAATGCAAAGCTATCAGCCTTCTGCCTCCTACCAACAACAACAACAGCAAAGCAACAACACAGGCGGCAGCACGCCCCAATCTCTAATGCAGCCACAAACGCCGCAGAGCATGATGTCCCACATGATGCCCATGACAGAGCGAAATGCACCAGGAGATTCATCTCTGAGCAACATTCACCAGACAATGGGTCCGTCAACACCGATGACCCCTGCCACACCTGGCTCCGCTGATCCGGGCATAGTGCCGCAGCTGCAGAATATAGTGTCCACTGTTAATCTATGCTGCAAATTGGATTTAAAGAGAATTGCTCTGCACGCACGCAATGCCGAGTATAATCCAAAGCGTTTTGCGGCCGTTATCATGCGCATCCGAGAGCCGCGGACCACGGCTCTGATCTTCAGCTCCGGCAAAATGGTTTGCACTGGGGCCAAGAGCGAGGACGACTCGCGGCTGGCTGCTCGCAAGTATGCGCGCATCATACAGAAGCTGGGCTTTCCAGTAAGTATCGATTGCTAGATACGGGCAGAATTTAACCGACATGCATTTTTAATAATCTAAATCTCTTTCATTCGCAGGCTAAATTCCTTGACTTTAAGATACAAAATATGGTTGGTTCGTGCGATGTGAAGTTCCCCATCCGATTGGAGGGTCTTGTTCTAACGCATTGCAACTTCAGCAGCTACGAACCGGAGCTGTTTCCCGGTCTCATTTATCGAATGGTGCGCCCACGTATTGTCCTACTTATCTTCGTCTCGGGCAAGGTGGTGCTTACCGGCGCCAAGGTGCGACAGGAGATCTACGATGCATTCGATAAGATATTTCCCATATTGAAGAAGTTCAAGAAGCAGTCGTAGAATTTTTTTGTAGGTTAAGAACTCTTAAAGTTGACTAATTTTAGATTGAAATAAGGTTGCAAATAAATACTGTATTTAGTTGATAAATGTCGTTGCCTGGATTTTATTGGCATGTCGAGCATCACTTAACCGATGTAAACCTTAATTAGCTTAGATACATTGTGCCATCAGTGCACCCACATTCTCGAATTCGATCTTTTCCGTAATGTTCTTCGTCTTGATTTTGTCGTCCTGGGTGGCTACGACCACAAGATCCTGTCCCTGATGTTTCCAGCCGTTGCGCTTAATCCAACTCTCCAGTGTGGAGTCTTCAATGCCGCCCAACAGCTCCTTCAGCAAATCCTTCTTGATTGTCTGGAACGTGATACCCACCACATGGGAAACAAATTTGCGTATGGAATCATGGAAGCCGCTGATATGACGGAACATCGTGCGATTGACCTCAGCGCGTTGCCAGAACAATGTAAAATCGGCACGTTCCAATATATCGGCCAAGTCAATAATTGTCTGCACATTCTCATCCTTCATCTGCTGCGGCAGCAACAAACATTTGGCCATCACGAAGTCCGTGTGCGGCAAGTTCGTCAAACACTTTAGCAGAATTGTGTAGGTGATATCGAAGTTGAGCATGTGAGGATTGAATTGATACAGCTTGAGGACGGCCAAATTTGCTTCCAAATCGTAGGTGTTGTTCTTAGCCTGGTCCTGAACATACGATTCGAGTATCTTTAAGTGGTCCGGATTGTAGCTGGGAACAACAAATAAAACGAGGTTATGTTTAGTATGTATATTTGTTTATGAGAACCGACAAAAGTCGCTTACCGCTCAATGCAACCCAACATTTCCTGTATGGTCTGGCTCTGGCCATTTTCCATTTTCACCAAGTGCGACATTTTGTAATTTATTTGCAAAAGAAATAGATGAAATTACATTCGCGTGGCGATGCTAAAATTTATTTTTTACACAGGGCTGTATTGAACAGCTCCGAACAAGCTCGATAGAACCACTGACTCACATGAGCTAACGAAGCTTATAGCTGCCCTGGCACTAGCTAAGCAAACAAGCAGTCAAGCAAGCAGTGTTTTATTTTTTAGAAGCAGCAACAAAAGAAAGATTTCCCTATATATACCGCCAAACAGTGATAAGTCGAGATTGAAGAATACCAATATCAGGCTAGAACTTGCCTATTTAAAGGTGGTCTTTAAGAGAACAATAGCAAGTGACAAAGGTGACTTTTAAGTTGTCTATATGTATGCAGCAGTAATCATTTGAGTAAAACGAAGCTAGAATGATTGCAGCAGCAGAGCGTGTTCCCATTGTTCACTTAAAGCTCGACTGCAACGACCCTACCTGGCGTCGGGCTCGACATTTGAGCGCGACTTGGTGTCTGAGTGAAAGTCGCCCTATATAAAGGGCAGCAGCTGCAGCATTTCTTCCGTTGTCCAGGGTTGGTGGGGGTCAGTCGTGCAGTGAGTTTGTGAGCGTTCAGCTAAGCATTAAACACTTAAAGGAATTACTTGGAGGTAAGACAGAAGAAATAGTTGGAGGAAGGAAACTCTTAGAGGAAGTGTGTAATCCATTGTTCATCTAGCTCCTTAGCTCCACTTTTGTCCTGCCAAGTAAATTTAATGCAATGCTTAATTCATTTTTATTGGTAATAAAATTATTTTTATTAATCCCAATTTGTTATTGGTCTATATGTAAGGTCACTTATTTGCAAAAGTTTATATAAATTTTTATTTATGCATATATGTATGCATGTATATATGTATATGTACATGTGGAAATGAATTTCTGTTTTTCTACGCCATTTTAAAATGGAAGTTTCACTTGATATTTTATTTATTTCCAATTGGATTGCCTATATTTTGTCTTGGAAGTTAAAAAACATTTTGATTGGATCCAATTGGACTGTGCGTTGCCATCTAAATATATCTTGGAAGATTGACTCGATTGGTATGGTTGTTTCCAATTGGATTGTCCACTGCCATCTCACTTTGTATTGGAAGTTTGATTGGAAGTGTATGGGTAAGCAATATGTGGAAGCTTTCTTTTTTATTTGTATCCTTATTAGATCCATTGTATATTTAGAGACGTTTATGTCTTTGCCGCCTCTGCCTCGGCTCGCACAGCAGCGGCCGCTATATCGGCCTGACGCTGTTCTTCCTCCAACTCTAACCGTTCCACCTTTTTGATCTTGCTCAGTTTCTCTGAAAAGTACAATATATAGATATATGTTTATCAATAAATGTTTTTGCGTTAGTCTAACTTACTTGCACACTTTAACATGATGGTGCCCCACCAAATGGACCAGCCCCACCCCACAAAGCAGAAGAGCACACAGAAAAACTGAGAGACAGCCACAATAATATTAATGATAAAGGATCCAATGCGTGCGCGCGCGCTGTCGAACTGCGAGAAACGTGGAATGCCAACGCAAAGGCAGAATAGACCAGAGAGTAGAGTGCCTATGAAAAAGTGTGCATATCAAATAATGTACTGGATATAAATAATAAGTAGTTGTGTATACCCACCTAAGCCAGGGAATACAACGTTACAGAAAGCGCAAAACCAGGCTAGGTAAAGCGGTAGCACTGGTATGGCAGCCTTCATCTTCGACGTATACTCCACCAGGTCATTATGGAGTTTGCGACGCGTTTCCTAAGGAAGAACATAAATCTAAATTTAATATAAAAACTAGATATACGCATATTCTCGAACTTTGTATGAAACTTAAGCCAGAATATTGATTTTTTTTTTAAGTTGAATCAATTAGTCCTGATTGATATCAGGACTTACCTCACTTGTTGGAGGTGCTACAATACTTTGTCGGCGCGCATCGGCTTGTCTCGGTTTCTTTCGACAGCAAAACAGCATCAGCCAAAACCGTTTGCAGCAACTCCTGGAAGTGCAAAAAAGAACTAATTCAGTTAAGCGGTATTGTGCAATCGATTGTCAATCGATAATTGCTAACGATTCTCATTGAACGATCATCAGTCAGTCGAACAATGGAATTGCTGACCAATAAGAAGAATAATCGCAAAATACTGAACTAACTATCGATTTCAACAAATTCAAATTAAGGTTTAAAAATTTAAACCAGAAATTCCAATCTCTAAAGTATTTAGCTGCTCAACTTACATTTTGGCCATGTCTTCTGTTGCTGTCACTGCCGATGGCGCCATTGAAGAGCCTTCTAGTACGGCGGCATCTGTGGGAGCTATGCCCAGCTCTGGATCCTGATCTCGCCATGCTACCTTAGGCTCGGTAGCCGCTGCAACGGTGGCATTTTTGCGTCTACAGGGTATACAGAAGCAGCATTTGCTCAGCTCCGTCTCGTCGCCCGTTATGGGATCGATTTTATTGACGGATCGACAGCAGAAAACCTTGCGCAAGCACATGCCACATTTACTCTGGTGCTTTGGTTGATGGCTTGATGTGGACTGGTGCATTGGCTCCACGCTCATTTTGGTCTGTTTCTCCTCTGCGATCTCAGTGGACTTTGGCTTTTTGCGACAGCTCTTGCAGCAATTGGATGTGGGCCAACAGCGAGATTTCTTCTTCGTCTCATCAACTATCTCCAGCTGGGTTGTTGTTGAGGCGCTGCTCCGACTGCTCGCGAGCACAGGCTGCTGCTCATCGGCAGCATCTTGCAGGCGGTCCTTGCGCAGTCCGCAGCAGCGCATGCAGCGAGAGCGGCGAAAACGCATGCAAAGCGTGGTGCAGCAGCGGCAGCAGCCAGCCTTGCCCCCATCATCCTTTAGGAACTCCTGACTGCCAGTTCTGAAAGAAGAAAGTGAAGGAATCATTGTATAATCACAGAGTTGTATAGGGCATGGGGTTAGTTATTCCAATTGGAGCCTCGATTATAAATCACTGCCAATACGTTTCGATTTGCAGCCTTGTTTACCGGAAATTTGCTGTTAAGTTAGTAAAGGCTAAAAACTAATTATGATATTGATCTATTTCAAGCAGATTTCATTCGCCTTTGCCTTTATGCTTATACGCTCTGTATGAATATCGGAAATTTAGAGGAGGAGAAAAACCAATTATAAATTTTCTATCTACTCCTTGACTTCTATAATAGCTATAATAGTTGTCTAACGGAATCAGCCTTCATTTATAGCCTTGATTCCGAGGCATAATTGCCATAATAGCTGTCTATCGGAAACTGTGGGTAATAACCACAGGCCGAGTGAGACCTTGTCCTTTTTGTGATATCATGGTAATAATTTGCACTCAATTTGCATGGTTCACATTTATTATGCAAATCGATTTCGTGTTGCATTGTTGCCACACATTTTCATTAGCATATTTAATGACTTTTGCATTCGATGCGATAAAGATGAATTGCACGAGAGCATTTGCATTAGCATGCACATACTTTGCTCATAGGTCAAAAGTTGAAAGTACATTAAATATATAATATATTTTGTATATACTATGTATATAAATATATATGTACATATAGTTCATTCACAGATTGAATTTGGTTTCTGTTACGCACACGCATTTGCCTGGAGGGTTATTAAACCCTCTTTAAGTTCAAGGTTAGCTTTTCGTTTCGGGCTATCGTCGACTGTAATGGGTACTTTAACTAAACATAAATTAGCCCTCACTTACACAATTTTCCACTCGACCACGTGCCGAAAGGTAAGAAAAAGTAAAATATCCCACACGCTAATAAATATGATTTCAACAACCGCACGAGCCAACGACCAAACTTCATTTGGAGGTCGAGAGCTTGACGCCAGTCGAAAGAAACTACAAGTTTTTCGTACTTTTGTCGCATTAACTACTCAATTAACATTGGACTGCACATATATAATATATATTGTGGAGAATAAACAAAACTTTAGCTTTCGGAGTTTTCGGAGCTTGCAACTATTTCCGCATTGCTCAATGACTATTTCCAAATTATCATGGAGTATCGTATATAGAAAGGAAATATACCGTATATTAAGCAGTTTTAAGGAGCAGTTTTAAACTATTTATAAGCTGGTAAAACTTTGTCTAAGAGGTTTTTTAAAATTGTTTTCCTCATATAAAAAAAAAGTATTCCAAATTTATAATAATCATGTGGGTATAGTGAACTCCATTTCTTGTTTTCACTATTTTTTTTTGCGTCTTCCCACAATACCAAATTAATAATTATCATAATTATTAAAAAAAAAAATTGTTTTCTCTTAGTTCTATTATTATGATTAGTTATATTATTATTGTAATATGTCTTTCAGTTTAACTTTATATACATATATGAAATAAATAAATCTATATCCGCATTGCTCAAAATATGTGGAAACAAAATAAAAACTTTTTTGTTATGAAATTGCGCTTTATTTTTTGATAAGAGCTCGTAAAAACTTTTTAACTTCCTTTTTGGAGTTGTCGTTATTTTATATCAAATCAAATATACAACACATAATACAAATTTTGTTGTTTACCTAAATAAATATTTATCCGGTTCGATTAACGAATTTTGCGGCAGATCAATGTGAAACACAACCGAGTTCTTTTTCTTCTTGGTCAACATGCTTAGGTAGCACAGTTATCACAGGTATCACTCGCTAAAATCTAAGTATTTTTCATCAATATTGTTTTTTGTATTTTGTTCAATTTGAATTTGAATCCTAGTTGTGGTTGGCGCGATTGTCCGGCTGGAACTGATTTGTTATTGCGGCATGAAACTTTGGACATGCCACGAAAACTAAGTAGCTAGGCAGATTGTTATGTATGTGCACACCTCTCGACTGGTCGACCTGCAATATAGCACACACATTCGTATACATGTCTGTATATATGCACACTTCGAAGGACGTCGGCGCCTGAGGACGACAAGGCAAGCGAACGGATATCCTTAAAGGCGTTTCGTATGGTCGCCCTAAAGTTTGCTCCTCCCCTCAAACCCGAGCAGCTCGTAAATTTATTGACGCATTTATGAGTGGCCTGGTGG